GCTGCGATCCTGGGAGCCCAGGATCCCCCGCCGTACCACCGCGACGCCAGCTCCGCCCTCTCCTGGTTTTTTTCCTAAGGTGGGTTTGGGGGTTTATCGCTTGTTTTATTGTTTTATTCTGTGTATGTACTCTCAGCCCTATTGTCTTTCTGGGATATCTAGGTTACTGAAGAATAATCTCTAATTTGTACAACCCAATTCATCTGATGATGGCAGGTGGTTATACTTTAGGTTCATATAAATTTACCAACATTATCAGTAAAAATGACAACTCTTATTTAAATATTTTATGATTATATTTTGCTAAGCAATATATATAAAAAGTAGAGAGGGCAGGGGATTATTTTCTGTGCAAGAGAAAAATCTCTACTATGTCCTTTCTTTCTCCTAAAAACTTTATGAAAATCATGTACTAAAAAATATTTTGTAGATTTTAAGATGAAAGCTAAGAATTAGACATATATATATCTTGAGTTTTGTGAGAATATGTAGTAATTGTTTCTTTGTTTTTTTTTAAATATGAACTAAGACCTACAATGTAAAAAGCTCTAAAAAACCAGTGTGTGTGGCCTTATAATAATGTATTGTCTCTGTGTTTTTATTTTAGGGATATTTAATTAGTAGTCACTTGCCAAAGGAGGACCTCATTGATATTGCATTATATAGCAGACATTATTGTCTCTTGCCCTTAGCAGCAGAACAACGAATTGGTCAGTTAGTAATATGGAGAGAAGTATTTCCACAACATCATCTTCAGGGTTGTCAGACTTCATATGAGGGATTCCAAGAACCCCTAGCAAGATACTTCTTACTCATAGTTGGCTTGGTAGGTTTTTAAAGCATGAATATTGCTTTGTGCGGTCTTTGCTATTCCTAATTGATAAAAAACAGCTTGCAGTGAGAATATGTTAAGTTTCTATCTACATAATCGTGTGCAAAGCTTTTCAAGCAACTATGTAATACTGTGCAGAGCATTTCAAAAGGATGTACAGTATTTCAAAAGCAAGCAGGGTACCACTCCTCAAAGCATTAAAGCATCTGTGTCCTTTAGAAGGCTCACTACAGCTTCTCTTATTGCTCTATGAGTGAAGTGGCTTTGCATGTACAGGTAGTCTCGCTTAATGACCATAATTGGGACTGACAACTCCATTACTAAGTGACATGGTCATTAAGTGAGACATCACATGACTGCAAATTGCAATTTTACTACTGGCTTCACCATTGACTCTGCTTGTCAGAAGCCAGCTGTGAAGTGCAGAAATGGCATTCACGTGACCACGGGATGCTGCAATGGTCATAAACGCCTGCCAGTTGTGAAGCACCAAAATTTTGATCATGTGACCACGGGGATGCTGCAACGGTCATAAATGCAAGGACTGGTCATAAGTTACTTTTTCAGCACCATAATAACTTTGAATGGTCGCTAAAAAGGGCAGTCGTTAAGCGAGGACTACCTGTACACACATGCAAGAACTGGAAAAAGCCTTTAAAGTAGGTGTGCTGTAGGAGGAATGTAGCTGCTTTAATACTTCAAGAAGGGGCTCTTCATTCATGCCAGGACATGTTGTGATCTACCCCTGTCAAATGCTTTGTACAAAGAATAGCATTACTTGTCTATTTATACTAGTTCAAGTATCTTTTACAGGTAGTCCTTGTTTAGCAACTTACTCATTTAGCAACTGTTAGCAGTTATGACAGTGATGAAAAAGTAACTTTGCGATCAGTCCTCACATTTAAGACCTTTGCAGGCCTGTAAAGCAGAGGAAAGCTGAAGTAAGAACATAAGTTCAGTTGCAGTTTCATTTAGTGACCGCTTTGCTTAACGACCGAGTTGCTGGTCCTAATTGTGACTGCTAAATGAGGACTATCTGTATAATGTTGACAAAGGGAGAGGTTATATCAGCTATCCCATGAGCACAAATGCATTTCATATTCTGCTTCAGAAATGAGGTGTATGGAGAATGGGATACAGACCATTTCATTTGTCTCTAGAATACTGTATCCCAAAAAGTTGTTTCATCCCCAACCCTATTTTTTAATTTTCTTTCCTCTCAAGTGTTTTCTTGATTGCTGATTTTTAGTTTTAGAGTTTGCTTCTTTTACGTAACCTATTTTGTGCAATGAATCTCTGAAAGGTGGAGCATACAGTGCATTTGA